GACGTTTGACGGAGGAGGAGCGATGGCGGGCGGCGGAGGAGAGAYAKCGGKTGGCGGAGGAGCGACTTCAAGATATGGCTGCTTTGTTTACAAAGCTCAGTCAATCTCAACATTTCCCCCCACCACCATAATGAATATTGTCTTTTGCCTTTAAACAATTTAGTTTTGTTTATAACAATTTAGTTTTTGTTTGCTTGGATTAATTGTAGTTTCATTTTAATKTATGATATTTAGTTCGATTTCGCCTTTTTATTTTCAGTTTTAATATTGTACAGATTTGCAGTTTTTAAATATAGGTTTTAAATATTAATTTTAAAATAAATCTAAAATATTATTATATATATATTTCCGGCGGACCAAATCCGCCGGTATTTTTTAAAAAAAATTAATTATTTTTAAAATATTAATTTTTAAAGAAAATATTTATTATATATTATTCCGGCGGATTTATCCGCCGGTATTTTTTAAAAAAATTAATTCTTTTTTAAAAGAAAATATTTAATATATATATATATTATTCCGGCGGATTTTTCCGCCGGTATTTAAAAAAATTATTTTTTAAAAAAAAATTATTTTCTTTTCAAAAAAAGAGATTTTCCGGCGAGACAAGTTTCCGGCGGATTTCCGGCGGGAATATCCGCTGGAATTTTTTTTTAAAAAAAATTAATTAATTTTTAAGTTAATCAAGATTTTTTTAAAAAATGGGCGGAGATTTTCCGGCAGCTGTAATCCGCCGGAAACACCGTCGGAAAAAAATCACCGGCACCCCTTTTTCCGGCGGCCAAATCCGCCGGAAAAAGTGGGTTTTTTGGTAGTGATAACATTTTTCATTGTATATATATAGGTGAAGGTTTAAACGAGAACACCTCCATTTTATGAGAACGTGAGAACACCCTTATCACGTGTGATAATACGCGTGAGGGGACCCTGTGATATGCGGACGACGTGTTCTACGACTTAGGCCGCGCCAAAGGTTGTCTACACCTATGATTTAGCATTACATGTGATGGTCTTGATGGATTACAATACCATATCAACAACACCCTTATCACGTGGTAATATTTGTGATAGGACTTAGTGGTGTAAGGACGACTTGCCTCGTAATCAAGATCGCATCGAAAATCGTTTGTGTCTCTTATTTAGTATCACATGTGTATCATATGTGATTGAATAATAGCATCACATGTGATTGTCTATAGTAAAAGACTGTTCTCGCGTTATCATAAAATGAAGATGTTCTTGTTTGAACCATTCCCTGTATGTATGTATGTATGTATGTATGTATGTATGTATGTATGTATGTATGTATGTATGTATGTATGTATGTATATTTTCAGCCTATACAACATAAGTTGAGTTTGTTGTGACATTTCTTCACGTAATCAAAAGTTATAAAAGAATTTAACAACTTGATATTCATATCATCAATAATCATAAGATCTACCATTTATCGCATTATTCAAAGAAATATTTTTAATTATTACACCAACTAAAAATTAAAACAAATTTTATTATATATTTTTTGAGATTTAAAACGTTAATATTTATTTACTTAAAAAACACAGTGCATAAACGTTTTACACAGGATAAATGTTGTGAATGCTTTTCTTGATAATAAACACAAACCACACACATCTTTTTCTCTCTTTATAGCCACCTCTTACACCCTCACTTCTATCACCCTCTCTTCCATCCAACGCACTTACTATTACAATTGCGCAATTACAGGTATATTTTTTCATATTCTTTAGTTAATTATGATGTCTATTATTTGTTTAAATTCGATACGCTATCATGAACCGGTTTCTAAGTTCATCATCGAACTAACTCAAAAACAAAAGTCCCTAACCAAACAAATCAACTTTCGTTGTTTGGTTCGGTGACGATTGGTAATCGTTACATTAAGTTTGTAGTATTTATTTTGATTCACTTTACAAGGTCTTTTATTATATATATATATATATATATATATATATATATATATGTTTATTATTATTATTATTAACCTGGATATCTAACCCGTTATGTTAGCCAACTAATCCCAAATGACCACCCGCACTGCATTTGAACCTTCGTGGCCGCAAGGGGATTTTTATTCCTCCTTGGATTCGAACCTTCAGGCACTTTTAACCTTTGGAGACCAAGTTCAAACCAATCAAACACTACCCTTGTTTATTATTATTAGTTTTTGCTATTAAACTATGTATTAAGTTAGTCTAGTATATTTTTTTTTCTATAAGAAAACATAAAATATATTATTGCTTTAAAAGTATAACAATTTCGATATCTCAACTGTTCTAAGAAAATATAGCGTTGTTTGATTACTTTGAGTTGTGTTAGTTAACGTAATTTTTTTTTCTAATTTAACAAGTTTTAAAAAAAATATGTGTTTATCTGTTCATGGTTCTATATGTTTTCTACATAGATCTTCCTCGTAAGAATACTGATTATAACTTTTCTTAATTTTGTTATTGTTAACGTAGATCGAACATATACAATTTTATATATGATCACTAGTATAACATGAGGGTTTGATAGGAGACCAAACGGGTTTAATTAAACTGTTAACTGTCATTTTATTTAGGCAAAATGCTCTGAAAATGAAAAATAGTTTGGTTAAAACCCTATTTTAAAGAACCATCTTTCAAAAGACTCGATGATAAAACATTTGTACCTTGAAAAATGTGTGTTTTAATACGTAATATAATAAGATATTTGATTAATTATCAAGCAATTATAAATTTAAAAAACTCATACTAGAATAAATATCACATACATCTTTATATAATTTGAATCGAAGTCTTACTTAAGAAGAATGTTACGTTTTATTCAAAGTTAAATCTAAAAATAGAACTATCATTTTAGACGGTTGAAGTTCAATTTCTTGAAATCAAAATGCAGTTACATTATTTGCAAAGAACTAGAAGATGTGGAAGCTGAAAATTGGTGCGGGAAATGACGACGAATATTTGTACAGCACAAACAATTTTGTGGGACGTCAAACGTGGGAGTTCGATCCCGATGCAGGCACGCAGGAAGAGCGTGACCAAGTCGAACGAGCTAGAGAGCAGTTCTTGATCAATAAGAAAAAGCTTGACATAAGTTGTTGCGGGGATTTGCTAATGAGAGCTCAGGTCTGCCAATACTACTAGAAAATTTTAAATTACAGAAATAAATGGATACCAATTAGTCACGCTATGAAAAACGCACACTTGCTTGTTTGCAGCTTATTAAGGAAAGCGGGATTGATCTACTGAGCGAACCTCCAATAAGACTCGGAGAAGAAGAGGACGTGAGCTATGAAGCGGTGACGACATCGGTTAAAAAAGCAGTACGATTGAACCGTGCGATTCAAGCTTGGGACGGTCATTGGCCAGCCGAAAATGCGGGTCCCCTCTTCTTCACCCCACCTCTGGTAACTATCATTTATTTTAACATTGAATGTTTTTACTATATAAGTTTTTCATATTTTATATAATATAAATAAATTGTTATTTTATTCAATATAAAATATATGTTTTTAAGGGAATTGGGGTGATTTGAACTTGCAGATAATTGCTCTCTACATAAGTGGCACATTGGACTCAATTCTAACCAATGAACACAAGAAGGAAATGATTCGCTACATGCACATCCATCAAGTATGTATGGTTTTCATTTATTTATTTTTGCATTTTTATTTGTAGGATAATGTGATTTCACAGCAAAATAATATGTATGCGGGTTGGGTTCATGTAAGACCAAGGGTTTTTCGTGAGACCCGTAAGATTAATTTATGTTCATTGATCAACTTTATAAGGTAATGATCTAATGGTCTAAAGTTGCACGGTGACAATTTTTTGATTATTGAGAAGTCTCGTGGCAATTTTGTGATTATGAATGTTCAGATTGTAGATCTAATCCATGGGTTGATAATTTGTCTTACGGGCCTTACGGAAAACCCTTGATCTAACATGATTCCAATTAATGCTTTGAAATATAAGTTGCTACATATTAATCGGTATAAAACAAATGTTAAGAGCAATTTAATTGAATAAATTATATTCTTGATTTACACCTTGCATCTTTAAAATAAGATAATAATTATGAATTTGATATCTATAATATATTTATATATAATTAATAGAATAAAGACAAATACCAAAAAAAAGTGTGCGGGCGACCCAATAGCGGCGTGGCAAGGTCGCATGACAAGGTCGCGTGAATCATATGTGATTTTGTACGTGATGTTAGTGTAAATCACATGTGATTCGGTCATTCTTTTATTTTCTTAAATAGCTATCATTACCGTGTGAACCGACTCTATATAATTAATTATTGATGGAATAATATTATATATAATTAATAGAATGAAGACGGAGGATGGGGATTCTATATATCAGGAAGAAGCACAATGATAGGGAGTGCTCTGAACTACGTAGCTCTAAGGCTTCTCGGAGAAGCTCCTCCGCCAGATGGCGACGATGGTCCACTTGGTAGAGGCCGCAAATGGATACATGATCACGGTGGCGCCACCTCCATCCCATCATGGGGAAAGGTTTATCTCGCGGTATGCATGTAATCAATAATTAGTAATTCTTTTTGTAAGTAGAAAATTATATATATAAGGTCAGGTTAAGGGAAATCCGTAAAAAAATAAAAAAACTAAGAAATATCTTGTTAATCGTTCATCTGGATGGTATGCACATGTGCAAACAAAGTGCATATGATACACACGTACATAAAAACCAATAAACAACTTCAATTACTTGTATGCACATATGCATATTATCCAAATGAATGGTTACGAAGTTGTTACTCAATTTTTCATCTTTTTAGGTTTTCCCCTTAAACTTCCCTATATGCGCATGTATATATAGTATTGGGTTCACATGGCACCAGCTTGTTTTCATGAGACCTCTTGAGACTATTTTTTTTTTTTTTTTTTGAATTTGAAATTTCACATTAAAACATTGTAAATGTAAAAAAAAAAAATTGAACCTTCACAGCAAAAACATTGTGACGGTTATCTTCATAATGTTTTTCTGTGAAGTTTCAAGTGTAAAAAAGTGGTCTCACGGGCCTCACGAAAACAGTTTGATCTTATATGATTCCAAGTCTCTTTCTCTATAAGAGAGAAAAAAAAAAGGAAGGTTCATACGAGAGCGCCAACTATTTAAAAAAAACAAGAAAAAGGCCATTAATGTACAAAATCGCATGTGGTTTTACATTAACGTCAAAAAGATGGAAGCGGACGACTTTTGCCACAACTTAAGTTGCACCGAATCATGTATGATTTTGTACGTGAATTATATTTCATTTTGTATAATAACGGCCTCTTTTTTATTTTCTTATATAGTTAGCGTTCTTGTTTTAACTTTGATATATATATATATATATATATATATATATATATATATATATGGTTGGGTTCACGTGAGACCAGACTGTTTTTGTGAGACCACATTTTTACACTTGAAACTTTACAGCAAAAACACTGTGAAGGTTTAAAAAAGTCGAACCTTCACAGCAAAAACATTGTGAAGGTTACCTTCACAGCATTTTGCTGTGAAGTTTCAAGTGTAAAAAGTTGGTCTCACGGGTCTCACGAAAATAGGCTGGTCTCACGTGATCCCAAGTCTATCTATCTATCTATCTATCTATCTATCTATCTATCTATCTATATATATATATATATATATATATTTATTTATTTATTTATTTATTTATTTTTCCATTTAAACATGCATGAATATGATGATCAGGTGCTTGGAGTATATGAATGGGAAGGCTGCAACCCTCTTCCTCCAGAATTCTGGCTTTTTCCTTCCTTTTTGCCTTATCATCCAGGTGAATTCATTAATTAAAACCCATATTAACTGTGGCTTTGTCTTTTCTGTCCATGCAACCATTTGTTTTATTATATTTGGTTGTTTTGCAGCAAAAATGTGGTGTTACTGTCGAACCACATACATGCCAATGTCACATTTGTATGGCAAGAGCTACCATGGTCCCATTACAGATCTTGTTTTGTCTTTAAGAAAAGAGATTCATCCCATCCCTTACCACCACATTAATTGGAACAAACAACGACATAACTGTTGCAAGGTTAGTTCGTATAACATACATACATATATATAGGAGGGTTTGTACTAGAATCATATGTATATATATATATATATATGTGTGTGTGTGTATATACATATATATATTTATATATATATGTGTGTGTGCATGCAGGAGGATCTGTACTACCCTCATTCATTGATACAAGATCTACTATGGGACGGTCTTCATCATTTTAGCGAACCTATCATCAGAAAATGGCCATTCAATAAGCTAAGAGAAAGGGGTCTTAAAAGAGTTGTTGACCTAATGCGCTATGGAGCCGAGGAAGGACGATATATAGCCATGGGCTGCGTTGATAAGGTCGCCTTCCCTACATACACTTGTCTTAACCAATTAATACTGAAATGTGTCTATGTGGGGATACATGAAATCCTTTTGAGATATTTTATGTGATAGAGAGCCCTTAGAGGAAGAGAGATGTTCAAATATATATATATATATATATATATGTATATACATGTATATGTATATATCTATATGTGTATATATATGTATATATCTATATGTGTGTATATGTGTATCTATATATACATATATACATATATACATATACATGTATATACATATACATATATATATGTGTGTATATATATATGAAGTCAGGTTCATACAAGAACAATAGTTAAATAGGAGAATAAGAAACGGTCAAATCACATGTGATTTTACACTAAGATCACGTGTAAATCACATGTGATTTTGGCCATGACTTGAGGTTGTAGGCCACATCGCTCGCACACCCTTAGGTCCCCTGTTAGTGTAAAATCACACCGTTAGAATAAAAGCATATGTTATTTTGCACTTGATTTGGTTGTTTTCGTATTCTCTTATTTTGTTACGGTTTTTGTTTGAATCTCTCTCTATATATGTGTGTGTATATATATATATTGGGAGATTCAAACGAGAACAATAACGAAATAAAAAAAAGTACAAAAACAGACAAATCACATGTTATTTTACACTAACAGTAAACGCAAAGGTGTGCGGACAACATGGTCCAGGACCTGAAGTCGTGTGAATCGATTTTAGTGTAAAATTACATATGCCTCGACCAATTTCTTATACTCTTATTTCGTTACTATTATCGTATAAATCTGACTCTCTCTCTCTCTCTCTCTATATATATATATATATTGCAATTCAAATACTAACGCAATAAATGTACAAATCGGTTTTTATGTGTTGTTTCATGAATGAAACAACATGCGAAAAATGCAGTATTCACATAGTGTTCTTTATATATGAACCATTCAGGATTGTTTTATGTATTAAGAAATATGAAGATAGTTACATATGAAACATATACACACAAAAACAAACATATAGATCTCCAGCTTATTGAATAGTTTGGATTGGTTTTCACCGATTTGTAATATTTATTGGGTTTGTGATTTGATTATATATTGGGGGTGTATAGGGGCGATTTCAAATGAGCATCACAAATATTTTAAGAACCGTATAATCAATTGTTTCATAAATTATTCATGACGAATAACCCTAAAATACTCATGACTATTATTCATCATGATGAGTATTATGTATTTTTATCCTTCATGGTATTCTTGATGACGAATGACCTACATTGTTATTAATGTTATTCATCATGAATAATTAATAAATTGTTGGTGGTATTATTCATCATCATGAATATCTTGTATTTTTATTGTTCATGGTATTCTTGATGAATGGCCTACAATGTTATTAATGTTGTTCATCATGAATAATTAATAAATTGTTGGCGGTTCCCTGATTCTCAAAATATTTATGGTTCTCATTTGAACATGTCTCTCTCTCTCTCCCTCTCTCTCTCTCTCTCTCTATATATATATAGGTTGGATGGTCTGTTTCTAGCCAATGTGAGAGTCTAATTGTCTAAATTTGTGTTGGTTTTATTGCAGGCTTTACAAATAATGAGTTTTTATGCGGAGGATCCAAATGGGATCGACTTCAAACGACATCTTGCTAGAGTCCCTGATTACTTGTGGGTGGCAGAGGATGGTATGAAGATGCAAAGTTTTGGCAGTCAATTATGGGATTGCACTCTTGTAACACAAGCAATTATCGCAAGTAATATGGTAGACGAGTATGGAGATTCACTCAAAAAAGCTCACTTTTACTTGAAACAATCACAGGTATTTATATATATACATACATATATGTTTGATGGACCAGTTCTAGTTGATGCACTTTACAACACTTGCTTTTTCTACATAAATGAATTATGTTGAGTTTGATAATAACACATTTGGTAGCTATAAAATTGGCCATTTGCTAATTGCACTATCATTCAACAAGTTCGATTCTTTTTTCTTAACATTGAACGACTCTGTAGATAAAAGAGAACCCTAAAGGCGATTTCACCAAAATGTGTCGCCAATTCACGAAAGGGGCATGGACTTTCTCTGATCAAGATCACGGTTGGGTCGTGTCAGATTGCACTGCCGAAGCTTTGAAGGTGAAATCCTCAGTTTTTCTCTTAACTTCTTTGGGTCTTCAAATTTGTAAACATTATATATATATAACTATCTATCGAACTAAAATATTACATGACTTCTTATGAAGTGTTTATTAGCACTATCACAAATGCCTCAAGACATTGTTGGAGAAAAGGCTCAAGTTGATCGATTATATGATGCTATCAATGTCCTCCTTTACCTACAAGTACATATTCTACCAGCTTTTCTTTTGGTTACTTCTAATATATGTCAGTCTAGGGTTTAGGGTTTAAGGTGGTTACCAAAGGTAGCAAACCTTACTTTTACGAGTAACTTTTTTGTTGTGTTTGTACTGAACCAGAGTCCTGCAACCGGTGGTTTTGCAATTTGGGAGCCTCCGGTTCCAAAACCATATTTAGAGGTACAATTTTTATGCTTAATTTCTTAACAAAAACGAGTTTATAGGACATCAATAATGTTCAAGTATCATAATATATTGTTTTATATGACTTAATTAAGTACATAAAACAAAACACTTATGTGTCTTATATAAAAAGTATTAAAATAAGCTTATAGAATGTTTTTGGGCGTCTTCACAAGCTTTTTAGGACAATTTCGAATTAAAACGTCTCATTAATTCTTTTATATGACATTCTTTTAAAAAATGTTCTGTAAAAAAATGCCCTATAAAAAGACGTGTCCATAAGGTATTTATCAAAAGGGTATAGGACCTTTTAAGCGTCCTAGAGTTTTGTCTAACACACAAAAAAAGTATCATATAAATTTATATTGTAATATTTTTACATATGACACATAATTGTTTGGTCATATAAACTTATGTCTTATAAAGCAGTCTGTATAGTAAGGACACTTTGATATTTTTTGTGTCCTATAAACTTGAGTTTGTTGTAGTGTTTAATCTGGAAAAAGATATACTAATTAAACTCAGGTTTTGTGTTTCAGAAATTGAATCCTTCAGAACTTTTTGCAGATATTGTTGTCGAGAAAGAGTAAGTCATTTTCATGCTATTTAGGATTTAAGGTTACACTTTTAGGCATATACTGTATGAGAATATGTAGAATCATATCGGATTACTCTCTAGAAGAGCTTTTTGAAGAGAGAAGGGAGCTCGAACATATATTGAAACAGAAAAGTTCAATTCTAACCAATGTGACACTCCAACATGATTTCTTTTTGGTGGTTTTAGGCATGTTGAATGTACCGGGTCTGTAATTCAAGCGTTGCATGCATTCAAACATCTACATCCTGGGTACCGTGAGAAAGAAATAGAAGTTGCCATTGAGAAAGGCATACAGTTTTTGGAAAACAAACAAAAGGATGATGGGTCGTGGTATGGTTACTGGGGCATATGTTTTCTCTATGGCACATTCTTCGTGCTACAAGGATTGGTATCGTGTGGGAAAACATATGAAAATAGTGAAGCAATTCGGAGAGCTGTTCAGTTTTTGCTCTTGACACGGAACTTAGAAGGTGGTTGGGGAGAGAGCTTCGAGTCATGCCCAAAAGAGGTAATGATTCATTCTAACAACAACAAACTCGGCTTTTTAGGACATCCAATTATCCTTAATTTGCATTCCAATAGAGTACTTAACGAGACTTTTAAGTTTTAATAAAGACTGACAATTGTGCATCCTATACAATAAACTGTTAGTTAGAAGTAAGGTAATATAACAAGTTTTATCGACGAAGTTGGACAAACACTAATAAAACGATTTATTCATTGCATCCTATCATATTGTCCAACTTTGTCGATAACCTCTGTCTTGTTCTATCCTTGATTAGAGATTTCTTTACGAAAATAACGAATCAAATCCTTTGTCCCAGCCATTGTAGCACGTGTGTCGCCCAGGGCATAAGGGGCATGATGACTTGACGTCATCCTCACTTCATCCGGCTTATCACCGGCAGTCTGTTCAGGGTTCCAAACTCAATGAGAAAGCCTTATATCTTGAAATTAATTCATCAAGTTGATGATAAAATCCATGAGCGTTCCGGAGGGCGTTATTCACGTCTTAACCTGTTAATTAAATCACCTTAGAACTTATTACAACATTACTATATAAGAGTCGATTAAGTTGTTAGTTTTATAAACTTAAAATCCCATCAAGTAACCACAAAGGTGGTGTCTGATTGGTTTGAGCTTGACTCCAAAGGTCAAAAGTACCAGGAGGTCACAGGTTCAAACCAAGGAGGAATAAAAATCCGCTTGTGGCCACGGAGGTTCAAATATGTTGACTCCGGGCTATCTGCAAAGCAAGTGGTCGCCCTGAGATTAGTCAGCTCGCATAGCGGGTTGGATATCCAGGTTAATCAAAAAAAATCCCATCAAGTATAACACAGATGAGGGTTTGTTGTTCAAGCTTATATTTCCAGTTAATTATATGATATGTTTCTGTAATGTGATATTTTTTGGATCAAACCAGAAATTCATACCTTTGGAGGGGAATCGAACAAATTTGGTGCAAACTTCATGGGCCATGCTCGGTCTTCTCTACTGTGGACAGGTTCGAATCTTTTGTATGATTGATTAGTATAATTATATGCTTTAACATATCTTCATATGCAAATACCTGTAAGAAAATGTGTAAGTGTCCTAATAAACTGTTTTACAAGACCAAACAGTAAAATGTTTTTTACAATAAATTTACAGGACGTTTTTAAACGTTTTAACAAGTGTTTTAGAATATTTTCAAAACAAAGTGTTGTATCAGTTATTTTATAGGACAATGTCTAGAATGGTGTCTTATAAACACAAGTGTTCTATAAAAAATATGAGTTTATTCGACGTTTCCCAAAAGTATATTCTACAAAAATAGTTTATACGAAACTTTTATTTGAAAAAAATGTTTTAAAAAACTTATTAAAACGATAAAAAGCGTCGTATGAACTTATTGTAACACTTTTAGATATGATGTTTATTACTTAGACGTGTAAACTTAGGTCATATTTAACGTTCCGATTGTGTTGTAGTAACGAATTATAAACCATATACATTAGAAAGATGAAAGAGATGCATTTCCTAATAAAAGCTTGTGTTATTCAAAGGCTGAAAGGGATCCAACACCATTACACAAGGCAGCAAAACTGCTCATCAATGGACAATTGGAAAATGGAGATTTTCTTCAACAGGTATATTATTAACTTGTTCATAAACTCTTATTGTTCTACATCTCTACAAACTTATTGTTATAGATCTCTATATGTAAAAGTTAGGACTAAAGTCTCAGGTTCAAATCCAAGGAGGAATAAAAATCACCTTGTGGTCACGGAGTTTCAAATGCGGTGACTCCGGGCTATCTGCAAAGCACATGGTCATCTTAGGATTAGTCGGCTCGCATAGCGGGTTGGATATCCAGGTTAATAAAAAAAAATAAAGTTAGGACTAAAGTATGTGTTAAATTTGCAGGAGATAACGGGATCGTACATGAAAAACTGCATGCTACATTATCCGGAGTATAGGAACACTTTTCCGTTATGGGCACTCGGAGAATACCGAAAGCGTGTTTGGTTGCCGAAACAAGAAGCCATCTAAACTTCATTGCATAGATTAAATTAAGGCAGCCTGCTGGCCCTTTCTTGATTTCATTTTTCTATGTTATTGATCATGAAATATATATATATTGTTAACGTATTTAGTTTTTTCTTATTTCTTTTAGCTTATTTTGCTTGTGCTCCTATTAACAAGGAACTTTCTGTTTCTTGCTGATCTTTTCTTAAGTAGACCTAGTCTTTAGGACTGTTTGTTAGTCGTGGATTTATTTCTCTTTTCAGCTTCCTTTGTAAGCCTATAAATAGGCCACTTCAGTTAGTCAATAAAGCAGAAAGCATTCTCCCATTTCTTGTTGTTTACTTTGAGTTTTTAACATTTGGTATCAGAGCGAAATACCAAAACGTGAGAAGCAGCATACTTTGATTTGTTCAAGCAGCAGAGATGGCAACGGAAAGCAACTTTGTGCAACCATCAATTCCAAAACTTGATGGTCACTATGATCATTGGTGTATGCTTATGGAGAATTTCTTGCGTTCAAAGGAATATTGGAGCTTGATAGAAAACGGGATACCCACAGCAGCAGCAGGGGCAGAACTGACGGACGGACAAAAGAAGGTGATTGACGATGCCAAACTGAAGGACTTGAAGGCAAAAAATTATCTATTCCAGGCCATTGATCGAACCGTCCTGGAGACCATTTTGAATAAGGATACGGCAAAGAGTATTTGGGACTCATTGAAGCAGAAGTACCAGGGAACAGCACGGGTGCAACGCGCACAACTACAGGCTCTTCGAAAAGAGTTTGAGGTGCTCCACATGAAGGTAGGCGAATCTGTGAATGAGTATTTGGCTC